CATGTAGGTACTCATACCTTGCCTAAAACCAAATTGATTGTCGCAAATGATGTTATTTTGAGTCAAATGTTCACTTAATCGAGCAAAATCACTTTTTCTAATAATTTCGAGATAACCGGGAGTAGCGAAATTGGTCGGTAATTGTTGAATAACTGTTTATCCCCAGACTTAAAGATTGGTTTTACAACAGCCCTTTTAATAGAGTGGGGGAAAACACACCTTGATCAAGGCAGAGATTCACGAAGTGTACAATCTCAGTAAGTATTGATGCATACGTATTTGAATATCTTAGATTATGTTGTCATGGCACTTCCCACATTACGCATATTGTTTACGATCTTCTTTACTTCATCTTCGTTCGTGGGAGAGAATCGATGAAGTGGTATTCCCACAAAGTTAGGGAGGTTATCAATTGGGTTGCATTCAGTATCTCTTATTTTACTTTTCAGCTCCTTTCCAATGTTCGTGAAAAATGTGTTAAACTTATCAACTATGTCTTTAGTGTCTTGCACCACGCCTCTGTTGGTTTTGAACGCATTAGGCAATTTAATGTTTTCGGTGGAGCCCGTGGACAATTCTTTGATGATATTCCACGTGTTCTTAGAGTCCGATGTTTTAAGTTTAGCTTCAATATATGCTTTCTTTGCCTCTCTTATTATTTTCACAAGTAAATTGCGATATCTGCGATACTTGTTGGTATTTTCAAGCACCGGCTCTTTGTTTTTTGACACAAACAATTCATTTTTCCTGGCTATCGAGGCCAAGATACCAGGCGTGATCCAGGGTTTTATAGGCGTATTTTTCCGCGACGGCACAAAAGTTGCGCTGAACTTTTGTATTCCATCTGAGTAGGCTCGAATTATTTTTTCACAAACTAAGTTAGGATCAGTTACATCAGTGAGATGTAGTAAATCAGATTGTAGATGCATTCGTAGGTCAGTGATTCTGTTATAATTAAATGATGTGATTTGTTTCTTCGGTCTCGTATTTCTTGGTTTATATGTTTTTAGGGTGACATATATTGGGAAGTGGTCAGATAGGTCATCGTAAATTACTCCAGTGTCGTTAGCAAGTGATGTGTTGTTACAATATATGTTGTCTAGCAGAGATAGTCTTGTTTCACATTGTCTGGTTGGGAGGGATATAAGAGGAAGAAAGCCATAGGACAACATCATATTAAAGAATATCTCCGCATCATGATCATTGTCCAGCGTGCAAAGGTCAAAACTGAAATCACCAGTGACGATCATTGTGCTGGATGAGATATCCATGGAGTCGAGTATAGTTGACAGCTGTTCACAAAAAAGAGCTGGACAAGTATCAGGGGGTCTGTAGAACTGTGCAAGAATTACCTTAGAATAAGGTAGACAGCACTGCAGAATTACTGCTTCCGTACCAGTTGGACAGTCAATGGGAACACGCATGGTAGAAACTACACTGGCTGTACGAACATATACAGCTACGCCACCACCTGTGCGACCTGTGCGATTTTGAAAGAATGCTGTATAGCCAGGTATGTTGCGATATTTATCAACATCATCGTGTAACCATGTTTCGGATACACAGATCACGTCCCATTGTGTACCAGTTGAATGCAGAAAGGTATTCAGGGCTTCATATTTCTCAACACTTAAAAGAGAACGAGTATTGAGGTGCAATATAGAAAGTTTCTCAATGTCTTGAGAAAAGGTGTTGTTATTTGTTGTGACAGTGTAATATTTACAGTTGGTTCGTATAGATTCGAATTCGTTACTAACATCATGATCAAGATTAGTATCAGTATCTTGGAATGGATGAAATACCTTGTCATATAACAATGGTAGTTCATTGTCATTAATTCTAGTCAGTGGCATACAACACTAGGGTTATACCACAGAGTATGTAACTAGAAAGAGAAAAAAAGTCTCCACCAACTTAAACTCCACACCAACTTTGAAAACGTTTCTACACCCATGTCGCAAATGTTCATATGGTTGCTATATTCGAATTCAGCTCCAAAAACTAGCTTAGAAGCATGTAAAACTCGAAAAAGTGAACCGAGGTCATCAAAGGTCAGTGACCTGACCTGACCTTCAGGTGACCTTGACAGCCACCCTAATGCATGGGACCAACATCATATCACATGGCTGAACGCTTGAAACCACGAAAAGACTGCAAACGCGCGGCTAATGCGAGCTGACATTCGCCGAATCGCGATTCCGGCCAAACGTGGTCTCGAAAAGTAGGTCACAGGTCAAAGGTCGTTTGGATCAGTCATGAAACTTTCAAGATAGGTGTAAAATTGATTAACGCGAGGGTACTGAAGTTTCGTCGCGATCGACCGCTTTTTGCGCGAGTATTTCGCGGGAAACTGAGAGGGGGTTCGTTCGACCCCCCCCCCTTCCCTACGGGGGTAGATCGAACGGACCCCTTAACTAACGGGCGAGGGTTAATAAATTCGTTGAAATCCAACGAGGCGTCAACAATAACACCTAGGCTCTTTGTTCGTTGGTGTTCTCCAGCTTAGTACCACCAAGCGTGAAGATGGGCCTATCGGACATCATTTGCTTGGTAGGTACCTTCGAAGAGTCTGACACTTTGAGGCATTATAGACCATATCATATCTGCTATGTAAACTTAGTAATCAACCCCTTACAACCTAAAGTTCCCACACTCCCCTCCACCGTACTCTCGCCGTGTAACTGCGCGCGCGTCGCCGCTCGGCATCACTCTTCCTCCTATGCAAATTCCTGCCACCAGATGTCACCCACTTCGCTGTCTCGAGGCGAATAGTGAGTGCTTCACGATTCGATTCGATCCGTCGCGGCGTGGCACAGCTAGCTTTCAAGACCGCCGCGCGCCACCGGCTTGACTGTTCGTCGCTGAGCTGGTTACACCTCGGATCACATCAGCGCATCGGGGTCTCGGTGGCCGAGTGGTCTGAGCCGCACGGTTTCGAAGTCGTGTGTCCCGGGTTCAAATCCCGGCAGCCCCGCGCTGTTTTTCGCCAGCATGATGGAGGAATTCGCTTCTGCCCTGGTCAGCCTGACGGAGTTAATTCGCCAACAAGCGGAGACTTCTAATCGGCGGGAGGAACGTCTGGAAGCACTTGCTGCTTCGCAAGCTACCGCTCTCACCGCTTCGGCCGACAATGGTAATGATGTTACTCCGACCATTCGTCCTCGGCTTCCGGCATTTGCAACCCCAGCACCGCGTCTTTCTGGCGGTGCCAGCCTCCGTGAATTCTGCACTTGGAAAGAGCGACTCACCGGTTACAACATGCTGACAGGAGTCAACCAGCTCACGCAAGAGGAACAGCGAGCATCACTTTACAGCCTGGTTGACGACGAATGGCACCGGATCATCAAATTCGGCCTCAACATCACAGAGACAGCCAGTCTAAACGACACCATCCGAGCGATGGAAGACCACCTGAGGAGCCAGCGCAATGTCATCCTGGACAGACGCGACTTTTTCCGTCGCAACCAGCAGCCGGATGAGTCCTTCGACGACTACCTCATCGCGCTGAAGGAGATATCAGAGTTTTGCGACTTTTGTCGACACTGCACTGAAGACCGACTCCGTGATCGCATCATCACAGGTCTGCACGACGAAACGGCCGTTCAAACCCTGCTCTCGGAGAAGGACCTCACGTTGCAGAAGACCGTCGACATCTGCCGCGCGCGTGAGAACGCGTTTGTTAACGCCTCAGCACTCGCCGGTGATCGTCTCAACGCCGTGTCAGCCTACCGGCGTGGCGCACGGAGCTACAGCTGCGCCAGGTCAGCGAGCCGCAGCCGCCGAGCTGAACCAGAGGGCCGCGGCAGTGGAGCCGACCCAGTGGGTTCGGCCCGGATCCGAGACACAACGCCGGAGAGACGATGCCGTTTCTGCGGAGACGAATGGCATCAGCAGCTGGCCATGTGTCCTGCCCGTAACCATCGGTGCTCAAAGTGCAACAAACTACATCATTCTCCCACGTATGCAGAAGTGACCAGATTCGGACATCACGCTCTGGACAGCATGAAAACAGGCAACCAGATCGTCAGCAACCGCCTGTGCATGAGCCTACCACACAGCGAGAGGTGTCACCACCACGGAGAAGGCATCTACGTCACTTGCACGGCATCCACGTGCGAGGTCTATCAGCGCGACGGACGCCGAAAGTCGACCTCGAAGTACAACACGCCCGTGGACATGCTGTCATCCCATGGATACCCGACAGCGGTGCAGAGGTCTGCGCTATGAGTGTCCAACAGGCCCGTAGCATATGGCGTCGACGTAAGCAGCCTCTCGCCGCCACCAGATCAGCTGCTCGGAGCAGCTGGGGAAAAAACTGGATTGCAGAGGAACGTTCCAGTGCACACTCAGACTGGGTGAGGAGACCACATCGGTCGTCACCGTCTGCGTCATCCCCCACATCACTGGTGCTCTGCTGTCGTGGACCCGGTGTGTCGAACTCGGTATTCTGCCGCTCGACTTCCCGAAGCAAATCAGCCGCACAGATGCAACGCATCGCATGGAAGACGACAGAAGCGCAGAATCAACCGGATCACACGTCCACCAGCTTGCTTCATCAGATCAAGACGACAGCAGCCTATCAGCACAGAGCGAACGGTTGTCACAAGCCTCTTGCAAGCCGACTCAAGCCAAGTACCCGACCTGGCACGAAGCGCAAGGCGAACCATCTGAGGACGTCAAGCAACAGCACCTCAGCATGTTAAGGGACGCCTTCGTCGAGGTGTTCGACATCAACCGCCCACTTCGGGAGATGATCGGCGGGCCAATGAAGATCGTGTTAAACGATGACGCCCAGCCCTACGCCATCACCGCTGCCCGCTCCATCCCGTTCGCCTGGAGAGAAAAGACCAAGGATCAGCTGGACAAGCTCCTCCGTGATGGTATCATCTGAGGTCACACACCCGACAGAGTGGTGCCACCCTCTGGTCGTGGTACCCAAAAAACCCGCAGAAGGCAGCAACAAGGACAAATCAGATGTCAGGATCTGCGTCGACCTGACGATGTTGAACAGGCACGTCCGGCGTGGCGCTCATCCTCCACCGTCATGCAATGAAGTAGTCGCCAGCATCGACAAGAGCAGCAAGTTCTTCAGTAAGTTTGATGCGAAGAACGGCTACTTCCAAGTACCGCTCGCCGATGAGTCGAAGGATCTGACCACGTTCATCACCCCGTGGGGCAGATTCCGCTTCGAGAGATGTGTCCAAGGCCTCAGCTCATCTGGAGATGAGTTCAACCGCCGAGGTGATGTCGCACTCGCTGGAATACCCAGGACTTGCAAGGTGACGGACGATATCCTGTGTCACGATGACACGTACGCATCCCATCTGAAGCACGTCATCACTGTTCTGGAGCGGTGCAAGGAGCACAACATCACTCTGAACCCAACGAAACTTCAGTTCGCTCAGTCAACAGTCGAGTACTGCGGATTCAACATCAGCAAAGATGGATACACCGTGGACCGGCGCAAACTTCGCGCAATTTCCGACTTCCCAGTACCACAGAACCTCACCGATCTTCGCAGCTTCATGGGGCTCGTCAACCAGCTAGCCTCATTCTCAACAGACACAGCGAGCGCTGCCAGCCCGCTGCGCGACCTCCTCCGGCCCCAGAACCACTGGTGCTGGACCAGCGTCCACCAACAGGCTTTTGAAGCCGTCAAAGCGACACTTGTGTCACCACCGGTCCTGGCGTTCTTCAAGCCCGGCCTGCCAACAGCCCTTCACACCGACGCCACACGACTGCATGGCCTGTCGTACGCGCTTCTTCAGAGCCTTAGGTCACGTGACCTTAGGTCAACTTTTGACCTTTCGACCTTTCGAGGTCAACATACATATGTTTCGATGCGGATCGCCGAGAGGATCACGATGGTGCTATTAGTTTGTTCCTAGCTGGAATACCTTGAAAGTTATTCGAGAAAAACTTCATATATATGTGGTGCCGCAATTTTGACTTCCTTTTGCTCCTGTGACGTCATCTTTGACCTGACCTGAAAATGACCTGAGTAAAAATTATAGACCTTATCCATTTGTACCCTGCACCGTTTACCGCTTGTCGCTATCTTGCTTTATTCTCGAGATCTCGCTGTCGCTCCCGCTCGTAATAACGGACAGGTCATAAAAATGACCTGACCTGAGGTCAACGCAGGGCGATATCCACTTTCTTATTTTCGCATATAAATGACAATTGATAAGGCTTTATTCGTCATCAGATTAAGTTGCAACTTTCAGTGGGGAAAATATCAAGGTCACTCTTCGAAAAATAGGTCAAAAGGTCACGCGATCAAAATTTTCAAAAATTGAAAATCCGAGATAGCCAAAATGTTTGTTGGTTGATTGTGAGTTGAACCATATAAAGTTTTTATCGTAGAAAACCAATAGTTTTTGAGTTATAGGCCGCCAAACATAGGGCTGCAGCGCGACATCCAGGAATTGCCCGAGGCTATATCTCGGAAACCGTTGTTCGAAGAAAAAATCCTTGCCACAGCTGGCTTCCCCGCCCACCACAACCCATTAGACCAATTTTAAGCAAAAAATAAAATATGAGGGTGCAGGGCACTTGTCGATTTGTCGTGGAACGCCCCAGCTCCAGGACGGCAACTGGCGCCTCATCCAGTGTGGCTCACGTATCGTCTCTGACGCAGAGTCACGCTACGCCGTTATTGAGTTGGAGATGACCGCCATCTGTTAGGCAGTTCAGAAGAACTATCTACCTAGCCGGACTGAAAGAGTTCGATATCATCTGTGATCATCGTCCTCTCACCCCTCTGCTGAACCAGAAGTCACTCGCCCAAATCGAGAACCCCTGTCTTCTCCGCCTTCGAGAGAAGCTGGTACCATACCACTTCAAGGCTGTCTGGAAATCTGGCAAAATGCACTGCATCGCAGACGCCCTCTCCAGAGCTCCTATCGATGACCCGACGGAGGATGACCAAGAAGCCGAAGCAGAAGTCCGGCATCATCCCCACAATGTTGCACTATCTAGTGCCCAAGAGGTGGACCACAACGGAAACGGTGGCACGCCTGACCTGATCATGGATGAACTCCGTGCTGCTGCCAGGAGCGATGAGGAATATCAAGCACTGGCAGACACGATCCTCAACGGCTTCCCAGACCAGAAAGCCGACCTGCCATCCAGTCTTCGAGCCTACTGGCAGGTGAAGGAAGATCTCTCCGTCAACGACGGCATCATCCTGTGTGGCGCACGTCTTCTCGTTCCACGCAGCCTTAGACGAGACGTGCTCAAACGCCTCCACGCCGGACACCAAGGTATCGAACGGACAAAGCGACGCGCTCGCCAATCTGTCTACTGGCCCGGTCTCAACCAGCAAGTACACGAGACCGTCACAGCGTGCTCAGCCTGTCGCAAGTACCTGCCCACACAGCAGAAAGAACCGATGCTGAGTGATCCAGAGCCGTCTCGCGTCTTCGAAACGATGTCCGCCGACTTCTTCTCTCATGCGGGAAAGTCCTGGCTTGTCATCGCCGACCGACTCTCAGGATGGCCCATCGCCGTTTCCATCGACGGTGAGCCGACATCCAGGATCTTGGTCAGCCACTTGAGAGAGGTGTTCGCCGTCTACGGTGTCCCCAATCAACTCAAGACCGACGGCGGGCCACAGTTCACAGCCCGCCACACCCGCACCTTCCTGGAGCGATGGGGCGTGACGCACACGATATCATCCCTACATTACCCGCAGTCCAACGGTCATGCAGAGGCGGCGGTCAAAGCCGTAAAACGGCTGGTTCAAAAATGCAGCGTGTCCGGTCGCCTCGACCTCGAAGAGTTCTCGCAGGCCATGCTTAAATCAGGAATACACC